AAGTTTACGTAGTTAATTTGGTAGGCAATCCCAGGAAACACCCACAKGAATGTGGGCAAGTGAGGCAAGGAAAGGGAGATATCCAGTACAGGTTCACTGTCAAGCAAGCTATTGCATGGCAATTGGAAGTTAAACCCACTGGGCAATTTGGGAGTAGAACGTACAATTTGCTTGAGGGCCGGGGGAGCAGAGGTAGTCATACACTGAGTTATAAGTCGAGAATTCTTTAGCTCTGCCTCTGCTGTGATGTTGGAAAGGCATCAGACTCTAATGGTCAGAAAAAGCCCTCAGGCAGGGAGATGCAGGTGCTGGCAGTTGGCAATGGGCCAGGTGTTGACTACCATAGTAAGGCCTGAGGGGATTTGGACAAGGTTCAGACAGCATCTGCCCCAAAGAGATTTTAGTTCTCCTCTGCAGATCTTTGGGAATGGTATTTTCAACAATTTGATGTTAGTATGAAGACCACTCGTGGGAAGGATGATACATAATGATACATCTGTAATGTAGATCTCTTTTAAGCTGAAGTGAAGGTCTCTATAGCTCAGTTTCTGCATTTGCAAAGTGGGGCCACTACACTCATATGATCAAGTATTGTGGGGGTGACAGGTAGTAAGTACCTATCATAATGCTAAAAATATAAAAGGTACTCAATAAATTGCAGAAACAATAATGGGGTGCACGTTAGGGCAACACTGATGTAACAAGGTCTCACAGAAGGCATGTCCTACTTGAAGAGGTTACAGGACTCAGGAGCACTGTTTCCAAGCATTCTCTGGGGATTTTTCTGAGCAGCCTGATTCCAACATATTCCTTCTGCTAACTGGAGATAGGTCATAGCATTGTTCCCCAGTTTCAGCTTTCTTATTTCCCCTTACTGAGATACATGCACCTTTCTATTTGCTCATTTGCTAACCAATTCTGCCTCCTCCCCATCTGAATACCCAGCCCTTTATTACTTTTGGAAGAAGGATAATATTCATTTTTTTTCTGATTATAAGAGTAATATATGCTCTCTTTCTTTGTTAAAATATTTATTTTTTAGTTGTAGTTGGACACAATACCTTAATTTATTTATTTATTTTTATGTGGTGCTGGGGATCGAACCCAGGGCCTCACACATGCTAGATGAGCACTCTACTGCTAAGCCACAACCCAAGCCCATTAATATATACTCTTTTAAAATACTTTTATAGGGGCTGGGGTTGTGGCTCAGTGGTAGAGTGCTTACCTCACATATGTGAGGCACTGAGTTCAATTCTCAGCACCACATATAAATAAATGAATAAAATAAAGGTCCATCAACACTAAAAAAATTTTTTTTAAATACTTTTATACATAGAAAAACTAAAAAAGAAAACAAAATTCCTCAATAATACCATAAGAAACAATCTTTTTGAGAAAAGTTTCTAAGTGGAATCCCTGGGACAAAAGGTATCAACATTTTAAGGGCTGTTAGCATATACTGACAAATGTCCTCTGAGGAGTTTCTTTTTCTCTCTCTCTCTTTTTTTTTTTTTTGGTAGCAGGGATTGAACCCAGGAGCACTTGACTACTGAGCCACATCCCCAGCCCTTTTTAGACTTTATTTATAAGCAGAATTTCACTGAGTTGCTTAGGACCTCACTAAGTTGCTGAGGCTGGCTTTGAACTTTCAATCCTCCTGCCTCAGCCTCCTAAACTGCCAGATTATGGGTGTGTGCCACTGCCACCTCACATGTTGAGCCTCTGTGGAGATTTTGTTAATACAGACATTGGTTTTGTATAATTATTACCATAATCAGAATACAGAACAATTCCATAACCCTAATAAACTCTTTCCTGCTATCCCTTTATATGTTACCTTACTGTAACCCCTGGAGGATTGTAGAATATGCAATTCCATAGTGTGGAATCAACTGGTCATTCTCAGCTAATTGTCTTGATAGTATTACAAGACTTCCAAGTTAAATAAAGTATTATTAAAAAGTTCCTAAATCAGGTAGCAGTATCAGCCAACACTGGGCTCCAAAGTGGGTGGATCCAGTAAGGATCCTTCTCAAAGTGGTGTCTCAGTCTATTTCTGCCATTAGGATTGCAAGACATGCTGGGATTCAACCACTGGGTTGCTGGGAGAAGGACAGAAGAATCAAAGACTAGGCTAGAGTAGGATTAATGCTTCTGCAATTAGTTATAGGGCTGACCTTTAGGGTAGTTAGAAATCCAAATTGAGAAGTTCAAGGACTTGGGATGAATAAGGGTCTAACATGGGTGATGTGATGAAGATACTCACTCTAGGCAGAAGTATCCTCTTGGTTTGATGGGATAGGGGAAGATAAGGGGGAGAGGAAGAGAACAACTTTCCACTTTAAGGCAGAAAAGGCTGGGGGCATAAGGACATAGTCCAGGCTCTGGGAAAAGAGGGGTTCATAAGGACTCAGCTAGACATCAAAACTCAACTAAACAAACAGATGGAGAGGCAAGGCTTCTTTTCAAGAGAGGGAATCAGAGGACCAATTAGGAATCAAACTGGAAGTTCAGTGACCCAGAATACAATAAGTGAGGTGCTTTCAAAAGTGAATATATGATTCCAAGTCAGTGGTTCTCAAACTTCTAGTGTATGTCAGAATGTATCCCAAACCGAGAACTTTTGCTAGAATCCAGTTTCTGATTCAGTTGGTCTGGGGTGGAGATTGAAATTTTCTGACAAGTTGCCAGAATGGCTACTGTTCTTTGGAGGACCACCCTTTGAGAACCACTGCTCTAAGGCAAAGGAAATATTGAGATCCAATCTCACTCTCACATCACCCAGCATGGGTAAAAATGGGGCTCTCAAACAATGCAGGGCTTGGCCCTTCCATGTTGATTAGCTCCTTAAAGTCAAACCTGTACCTTGAGGTATTTTGTGTTTCTAGGAGGACAAATAAGGTAAGAAGAAAATGGCCTCTCTTCAAATGACCTAAACATCACTGGAATTTATGCATTACTGAAGTTCTCTTGAGCATAGATAATATACTATCAGGTGACAACACCTTGACAATGTGATAAGATCTATAACCATAAAACTATATAATTCTCTGATGCAATATTCATTTCCTTCTTTTAGGGCTAGCCTTCTTTGCTTATTTGAGGAGTGATAAAAATAATGTCCTTTTGTGTTAGCATGGCACATTCTAATTTACAAGGTGTTCACATGATATCTCATTTGATCTCCCACAATTTTATAAGGGAAACAGGGTTGGTATTTTTATCCCATTCTTTGGAATGCTGTTTCTCAATGTATTGTCCCTAGACCTGGAGCATTAGCATCATCCAGGCACTTATTAAAACTGTAAGATTGAAGGGCTGGTGTTGTGGCTCAGCAGTAGAGCACTCGCCTAGTATGTGCAAGGCGTTGGGTTTAATCCTCAGCACCACATAAAAATAAGTAAATAAACAAACAAACAAATAAATAAAGGTATTATGTCCAACTACAATTTAAAAAAAATTTTAAAAACCCTGCAAAAGGGGCTGGGGTTGTGGCTCAGTCTCGCCCCGCAAGTGCGAGACCCTGGGTTTGATCCTCAGCACCATATAAAAGTGAATAAGTGAAATAAAGGTATTGTGTCCAACTACAAATAAATAAATAATAAATAAATAGAACCCTGAAAAATCCAGCACCTCCCCAGACCTACTGAATCTGGTCTGGGGTCTGGTGTGGGGTCAATAATTAGCATTTCTAATAAGTTCCTTGGTGATGCTGATGTTGGTGCTGCTGGTCTTGGACCACACATGGATAAAAACCACAACTACAGAAAAAAATGAAACATTTAAAAGTCTAGGGACTTGTCTTAAGAGGACTCCTTCTTGGGTTCTTTTTCTACTATACCTGCTGCAACCCTACTCCCCCACCCCATCTTTCAAATGCCAGCTCCATTACTTGGGAGCTTTGAGTCCCTGAGTCATTATGCTAAGTTGCAATTTCCTCACCTGTAAAATGGGGATAATAATAGGATCAACTTCTTCAGGTTCTTATGAAGATTAATCAAGATCTAAGTAAAGTACTCAGCACTCTGTGCTTGTGCTTAATAAATGCTACAGATTATAACTTTTATTAATATTGAACGTATGACATTTCACTAGAACAAATACCTTTGTAAGTTCTTTCCTTTGAGTGTATATCTTCAGAATACTTCTCTTAAAATGTGAATATTCCCAGACAATTTAAACTTTCAGGTACACTAATTTTTAACATTCCTTCTGGGATGTTTTTCTGAGTGCCAGGAGCATTTGGCTGAGAACAGAGTGCTTAGGAAATAAGACTGCTAAAATGGGAGCAGAGGGATAATAGACCAACACATGGAACAGTATATTCAAGGACAAACAATAACTAGATTTCTTCAGAGGGGTAAGAGTGGCTGACAGGAAGCAGTTAGTGAGGGTGGCCAGAAGTGGCAGGCAGACTGTCAAAGACAATCTACCTCCTTCAAAGTGGATCCTAGGGTAGCCCCAGGGATAGACTCCAGGGCTACATCATTCAACAGGGGGATCTGCTCCTGTTCCTGTTGCATGCAGTCCAGAGGGTGAACATTCAGGTGCCCACAGTGAATTCCCTGAGAGATCCTTGGAGGCCAGCTGGCAATTGGCACAGTGAATTTGGGCTCAAAAGTGGCTTTGTCCTCAGGGTGACTTCTATTTGGCAAATACTCTGGCTATAGCACATCATACAGTCATGCCAGGGACCTGGTCTTTTTTTTAGTGAAGGTCTGTTATGTTCTTTCTAGAGGCATCCTAGGTCCCTCAGGAAGTTGTTTTATTTTATCTGGGTAGTGAAACCCGGGTCCCTTACCCAAAATGGACCTAGACCTTTGCAGATGAATTAAATAGAAGAAACAAAAGCAGCAAGTTAGGCCCGTGGGTACGGCTGGCCAGCCAATGGGGCCTGGCCGCTCCCCGCTGGAGTGGTACTATGATGACAGTAGCCAACCAGCGCGCTCCATGCAAATGAGGATACTGTATCCCGCACCAGCCGCTCCAGTGCCTTCTGGTTGTTATAGTGATAAACTGAGGCCTTGCCTTTTTGCTTCTCGGAGAAAGAAAGGGGCGGGAGAGGGGGGTAACCTCTTTACTTCCCCCAGGGAAGAGAGAAAGAAGGGAAGAAGAAGGGGGATGGGTAGGGAAGAGAAAAATACGTGACAAAGAAAACATTCTCTGCTTGGGAGGCGACTCCCAGAGGGTGTAGAGCTGGAGGGAGCATTCGCTGGCCATGCCAGTACTTACCACTGATGCTGAGTCAGAAACAGGTATCCCAAAATCCCTTTCCAATGAGCCTCCCTCAGAAACCATGGAGGAAATAGAGCACACATGCCCACAGCCTCGACTGGTAAGTAAAGACAAAGGATGCAAATGTATGCGTGGCTATGGCACAAAAGAGTTCCTTATGCGCCCGCAGCCAGAGAGGAAAACGATGCTTAGAGGATTTTCATGTAAATGAGAATGGAGCTACCGCCTAATCCTTCTCAGCTGTTTATACTTAGCTTCTATACCGGGCGCTGCTCTCAGCTTACAAAGCATTATTGTATTGGCTGGGTAGGAAACGGGCTGCTTGGGATATGTGTTTTTTTGTGCTTTGGGAGGAGGGGATGGCCTTTTTCCTTTTAGGTGTATTCTCGTTCGGAGATAAAAATCCTACAGTGCAAATTTAAAATGGTTTTCTCTACGCAAAGCTTGGAACGAGTCCCTTGTTAAGTTCTAAATTCTAGCTCAGGAATGATTCGGTCCTCAACTCATCTTCGTGCCTAATGCCAATTTTGTGCCTAATGCCAATTTTGGAAGCAAAACTTACCCCCATTTGTTTAAAAAAAAATCAAAAGTAAAATAAATAGGGGTCTTTCTGCATTATATTTAGAAATAACAGGCATTTAAAATGAATTGTAAAGATTTCCGGAGTGTGCGATGAGGTTTCTATTCAGATAGTGGAAACCTGGGGAAGCTACATTTATTTAGAATGGGGCTGCATGCCTTTAATAATGAAAGTGTAGAAACGGGGCACTCAGAGCTTCCATCCATCTCAGTAACCAGTATTCCAAATTTGATGAGTTCCTCTTCCGGCATTGGTCATGATCCCTTAACTAGATGTGGAAATTCCTTCACAACCATCTCAGCATGTGTGCTCAAGGAATCAAAAACATCAAATAAGTGGTGAGTTCTCTTTGGCTTGCAGTCTTGCGGAACTTGAGGAGATCTTTCTTTGAGCCCCCAAGTCCAAGAGACACACTAGAACTATCCTTTATAATTTTCTCTCAAGTTAAAAGGTGCAATATTTTGATTGGCTGTGAAGTTTGACCTGGGAAGAGTTTTTTTTTTTTTTTAAGGATTTTGTGGTGTAGCCCCAAATAAGGGCTTACTGATGTCAAAGCCATCCCATCATGGAATTGTCATTTCTTAAGGGTTAATGGGGGTTCAAAAGCAGGTTTAGAACCACTTCCTAAAAAACAGTAAAACCAAGTTATATTAGAGCCCTGTGGGGTTTTTATTCATTATGTTTCTAATTTGCTTAGGGAATTTTAATATTAACTGCTTCCTAGGCCTTTGGATAGTTGCTGAATGACATACACAATGTAGAATTCATGTTCTATGGAGTATAAAATATCCCAATAAGTTTGTTAACTGAGGCATTCCTTAGAGCTAACAAACAACTCATGATTTAGCATTGGAAAAAAAGGCTACTAAAATTATGTTGCAAGATCATCTAGAATGTACTTTTAAGTAAACTTCATGTTCAGATTTGGATCTTATACTTTTCAGAGATAAAGGGCAAGGGAGAGATAGGTGGCTCCATATTATGTATCATTTTAGCTTCATGTGTCTGCTTCTTTTTCTTCCCTTTTCACTTAGTTATTCTGTTCCTTGGTTGCTTCTACCTGAGAAAGATGGGCAGAGGAAATCAAGGGAAGAAAGTTCAAGTTGCTTTCCACTTTCACTTTTGACAGTTCATCCCAGGTGGTAACTCAAGAACCACATAAAGGTTGCAGTTTACACCCTCACCTCCTACTCATTTTAGAAATGGCAAACAGATTCAGAGAAAGTGACTTCCCCCAAAGGTCACATTGCTTTGAAAGAGCAGAGCTAAGAATTGAACCCAAAAGATTTTTAGATCTTTCCCCTTAAAAGACACTGCTTTCCACAACCAAACCCCCAACCCTAGTACTGGGGATCAAACTCAGGGACTTGTGCATGCTAGGCTCTACCACTGAGCTACATCCCCAGCCCTACAAAACACTCTTGAGATACATTCCCTTCCCATTTTTTTGGTTGTTCTGGTTGAAAGTAAGAGAGAGAGAGAGAGAGAGAGAGAGAGAGCGCGAGAGAGAGAGAGAGAGAGAGAGAGAGAGAGAGAGAGAGAGAGCGCGCGCGCGCGAGCACGCATGCGCGCACACACACACACACAAGATCAGGTATGACAAGGATGTATAGAAATTGAACTGTTGAAACAATTGCTTTGACCTACTTTTGATTAAAATTTTCCACAATGTTCATCATTATTGTGTGCTACTGAAATTGGTTCTGTTTAAATAGGTACTTGCAACCAATTTATAAACAACCACTTAATCTTTAAAGCACCTTTTCTCTTATTAGCAAACTTTGATCGCTGTAGGGTTGGTTATATTTTGACTTTAGATTTACATATGATAACTGAAGTATCCTTTGCTAGTGATTTTACCTTAATAACTAAGGCACATGCTCACTACTTTAAAGTTTGTTGACAGTGTGTGGCACATGAAAATGAGAAGTTAGTTTTTTGTGGGTTTTAAGAGTTTGTTGATTTTGTAGCTTTGCTAATATCTTCATTTTTTCAAATTCTATTAATCTTGTGTTTCTCCTGATACCCAAGCATCTCTCTCCTGATCACATGTGGGTCACACCATCCATGGCCATAAACAGGTATGGCTACTGAGTGGCTTAACTAACTTTGGAAAGTGTCTAAAGGATTGGAGAGGGGCCTGCTTAGGAATGAAACTCCACACTTAGATTTCCCTTCAGACATCAGATTCCTTCTCCCAATTGTTGAAGTGAAGAAGAAAGCCAGCATCCTTGAGTGAACAAGGCTTTAAAGAATTCTATATTTTATATCCATGTAAATAGCATATTGATGATATTGAGGATACAATTAAATCATATTTCACAGGGAAACTTTTGTGAACGGAATATATATATTTTCCCAGGTTCCTTAAAAGAAAGGAAAGTGGCAAATAGAATAAAATAACACTGCTAAAGACATTAGAAAAAGGCCAGGTATGGAGGCACATGACTGTAATTTTAGCTACTTGGGAGTCTGAAGCAGGAGGTCACAAGTTTGAGATCAGCCTGGGTAACTTCACCAGACACAGTCTCAAAAGAAAATATAAAAAAGAATAGGAATGTTAGTCAGTGGTAGACTGCTTGCCTACCATACACAGAGACCTGGGTTCCATCCCCAGTGCCACACGCACACATATACACATGAGAAAAGTTGTAACAAAATCATTTAGGTTTTATGATAGAGCCTGTATTTAAGTAATGTAATCTTGTTACTCTTATCTCCTTACCATGGTGTTCTGGCTTGAGATGTCTCTGAAAACTCTTCTTTCCATTGTTATAATGCATATTCTTAATATCTGACTGGTTTTCTGTTCTTCAATATTTTCCTGCTTGAACATGATGCAAGGTGACTCATAAGCTTGACAGTCAAGAAAAGAAACTGAGTGACCTTGAGTGATATGATGTAATCTAACTCCTGAGGAATAAGGACTCCTTGTGGGCAAGGACTATCCTCCTATCTCCCCAGGCCTCTGATTATGCCTAGAAAAAGCCTCTGAGCCAAGTAGGTGCTCCATAAACCCTTTCTAATAAGGCCTAGCCACCCCGAAAGCTGTCTGCTTGAGAATTTGGTTAATGACCTTGGTCAAGTTCTTCTAGGGGTGCATTCTTCCATCAGAAGGAAGTTGTAATTCTAGCCTGCAGTAGTCACTTCCATGAAGATGGATGTGCCACGGATCAACTGAGAAGGCCTTGGAAATAAAAAAAGGGCTGGTTCAATATGCCACGTTAGCAGGAGTTCATTTTGGGCTTCACTTCAAAGTGGAGCAGTGCCAAGAGACTGCTGTCTTGCAGAAGGCGCATTATGTCAGTTGGGATGTAGGATGCTGACCAGTAGTACTAAAAAAGATGGTTGGATTTCCAGACATTAGTAGCTTCCTTTACTAGTATCATCACCTATTTAGCCACGTAGAGCAGCATGCATTTTATAAGTGAGACATTCTCAATGTGCTGTATTGGTGAAAATAAACAAACATAAGCTTTTTGGGGCATTTACTGTGGTCAATGGGAATTCTGCCCAAGGTTATTATTAGACATCTTTCTGCTGGTCTCTGTTGAAATGCAACATCCATTTCTTACAAATTGATAATAGTCAAGTGTATCGAGCATGGAATCAATGAATTTGTTTCTTCCATTCTTTTGTTAAATTTGTTTTTACTATCCCTCCAAACCCCCATCTGCCTCATGATAAACTTCTTGTGGAAGAAATAAACCTAATTCAAATATAAGATAGGTAGTAGTTTCTTTTACTTTTGTGTTTGAGCATATAGAAATCAAAAGATACACATATCATCATTCCGGCAGTGAGGAAATGTTAAGGATTTCATGATGGAAAGCTTTATAAGGTAACAGAGTAAACTCCATTTCCTACCAACCCCTACCAACAGGATTCAAAGTCAGTCAAGTGGGCAACAACTTTCAGACACAGCAAGGTGCTATGGAAAGATATAAAAGAGAATCCATAATCCCTGCCCTTAAAGATCACTTCCACTTAGTAGAAGACAGTAGTTTGTTATTTGGAAGCATGCCAAGATGCTGAGATCCCTAAGAGAGCCATTTTAAAGTTTGGCTCTAATATATTGGACTTTCTTAAAAGCTGTATTTTATTCACTGAGCAGAAATACTTCCCAGCAGGGAGGGCTCTGTTAACCTGATCCCCAAGTTAAGTCACTCCATCTGAAGAAAATATCCTGACCCAAAACAAATTTGGGGACATGGAAACAATTATTCTATTTCTGAGGGGCTCTTAAGCCCCTGTTGTGGGTGGCACTTTCCAACTTTTTTAAAGCAGTGCTATGCAAAGAAATGCCATTGAAGCCACATATGTAATTTAAAGTTTTCTAGTAGCCAGTTTAAAAAGTTAAAAAAAAAAGACAGGCAAAATTAATTTAATAATGTATCTTATTTAATGCAGTGTATTCAAAATGTTATCATGTTGACATGCAGTCAATATAAAATTATTAATGAGAAATTTTACATTCTTTTCCTCATGCTGAGTCTGAAATCCAGTGTGTATATTATACT